TCCTTTCTGCTCCCTCGGTGCCCGTGTCTGGCTGATCGACTGGCTGGAAGTGCTCGGCGTCCCTGCCGCGGTTGGGTGGCCCTGGGACTGGTGGTACGGTCTTACTTCGGGTCCACTCATGGACCGAGGGGAGTGTATTCACGCTTCGTTTGACCACACCTACATGCGCACCATGTCCACTACGCTTTCAACTCCATGCGATCACATGGAGTTAACCCAAAATTTGGTTCCCGACACAACCTGTTCGGTCGGTCTGGATGTTTAAGAACCAACCTTTTATGGGTCTTAAATAGACAACTTGCAAGTACAGCACACATTTTCCTATACAAGTGCGCCGTATATTTAGCGGGTTCGTGGAGCTTCAACGTGTGCTCGAAGTCTGCTTCAGCGTGAGCACTCCTGTGGACTTGACAACTTTAGACCTGTATGACAGGATACTACATGTTATCTTCACAGAGCACTCTGCCGGTACTTTCTGGCGCCGGATGCACTTCTCTGAGATGATGTTATCACTCACCTCGGCAAGAACATAATCATCGTCATCAGTGGGAACTCGTGGCAGACAACAGCAATCACGGATGCCCAGACTGCCGGTGAACTTAAGATCCTCAACCATGGTACCTAAATGGATCAGTTAGGAACCTCAGGCACAGTCAGCTCAATCACATTTTGAAGGAATAAGATTATTTCTCTGCTCTGTATGCTAAATTACACTCCAATAGTCCCGCTTTCTGCATGGAATTCCTTGGAGGTTACTGTGGACACCAGCGCGTTGCCCACTAATCAGTATGGATAAAGGATAAAGTCTTCGCCGTTGATCAATCCCTTTGTGGGATGCGGCACGCATTCTACTTCCATTCAGAATCGTAGTGGCTTATTGAATGCGATGTGGCCTATACAATGACTTGCGGTGGCCAGCCGATGTACAAGTCAGTGTTTTATCCTCCCAGACGAATCTGGTACCAATTTACCGTCCCCGGAGGGTAGAAGGCTTGGTTGGCCTGGGCGGGAGTCGACCCGGGATTTGAACCCGGCGCCGCGCGAATGGTAAGCGCGCCACTTGTCACTACACCACCTCCGCCTCAATCAATATGAGAGTATAAGAAAAGGAGAAGAACGAAAATCCACTCACTTGTCGTTCCGTTCTCTTCTTCCCGACATCTTCGCTGGCGTTGGATATTGTGATGAATTTCAATTCAGCGTCGCTGATACATGCCTGCTTGCTGGGTTTGTCGGCACCTAGACATTTTGATAATTGTTGGCAAACCTTTCCCTCTACAATATTCTATTCTACTGTATTTAATTCGCTAAGAGCGTGGCGGAATCGCAGGGTAACCAAAATCGTAGCGCCCGTCCCAGCAGCAGTGGAAAGGAGGTTCCAGGGTATGATATAGGAGATTGGAGATGTACATCATTGGAGAGTTTAGGAATTGAGAACGACTGATAAACCCTGATAAGGAGCAAAATGGAGAATATGCTAGCAGTGTCGCAGCAGGCGTCAAGTGCGGTGGGGAGTGGTTCCAGCGAATGATATAGAAGGGAGGACATCGACGGTGGGTGAGAAAAGGTGATAACAAGTGATAGGGTCTGATAAGGAGCGTGTCGCCATCATCGTCCTTATTGTCAGAGTACAAAGTTTACCCATAACTCTAATTCTAAAGTATCAACAATAAATATTACAAGCATACTACCCGACTGAAGGAGGAAAAATCAAGGGAAATATCGTCGAAAAAAAAAGCTCTAGACGTAGGTATACAAACGTGTTGTGTTTCAAACGTGTATGCATGTTGGAAGAGCTGGGTAGATGCACGGCAGTCAATCGGGTCACAATTAGCGGTCCTACCTGTGGCGCTTCCACCACTGGTAATTTCCCTCCTAAATACCCGATCACTACCCGATCACTATTGGTAGAGCAAGGCAGTCGGGTGCGCACTCATTCCGCTATTCTCATGCCATCCCCGACCGTCTGCAGTGTCACAAACTGCACAATGTTGGGAGTGGTCGGTAGTAACAAAACCAAAAGGAAAGAAGAAGGTGCAAGGTTCAGAGTGAAGATGTGCTATCGGCGGTGAGCTTCATAGGGGTTCTCCGTGCGATGGATGCGATATCGTGCGCCAGCCAGACTTGTATTTTGTAAAAACTGTATGTGAGAGAGAGTGAGCTCAACAGAACAACTGTCACACATTCTGACTAACTATAAGATCACTGAAGATCTCCCGTTCAATGACTAACTTGAACACGGCGAGAAGGGTTGGGAGATCTTTTGCCTTTCTATGCTAGAGTCGGAAGATATCTAATCACTGTGGGCCTAGACGCGAAGTAGATTCCCAGCGTTATCTGGAGGCTGTCGGGTGTGTCTATTTTAG